CCCCAAAACCCCAAAACCCCAAAACCCCAAAAAAGTAAATTAAGGCAGTTTAAGTGAAAATTTATATTAATTAAGAAATTAAGTTAAATCAGAATTACTCTACCTCTAAAAATAAAGCTTACTCGTTTCGGTCGTCTGTAAAATTGATTTTGTCTTCTACTAATACATATTGCAAATTAACTACATCTTAAGTTTGATATTTCCTGTTCTGATAATTCTAGATTTCTGTTTAATCGACATAAAGATGTTATCTATTGTTATACTCCTTCATGTAATGAAAATCTGATGGAATATTTGCAGAGGCCATCTATATATATTAATCAGGTCTCATTGATTCTAAAAATGATTATTGCTTTAATTGTGGCTTAGTCGTTATGCTTGGATTTTTCTTGCATTTCGTGCATGATTAGCTATTTTGTGACTTTAGAGAAGTTATCTTCTTAAACACCTTAAGTCTCGATCTATAATAGATATTTAAATGACAATAAGTACTTTTATTTTCCCACGATACTAAACTCAAGGATATCTGGGTTGAGTGAGTTTTTAAGTCTAGTCTCCATCTGCCCAATATTTTCTTGAAGCATTTATTAGTAACTTCTATTTTTGGTGATTTAGTCATCATTGAAAGATCTTTATGAGTGAGCAAATTAGCATCTAACTCCATATGGGCAGTAGAGTGCCTCATGATACTACTTGCATAGCTTAGTTTTATATTTAGATGGAACGTGAGATTTTTTTTGTAACTCATAATCTCCGTGAGCGAACGCACAGGTATTTCCGAATTTGCAAGAGCTGTATAACTCCCAATTTCTGCAAATCTGATAATTATAGATGAATCCCTTATTTTAAGAAATAATTTACCTCTGTTTTATATTTAGTCTTAAATGACTAGACTGAGCTATTCTCCAAATTTTGATTTGGGTCAGATTATGCCACTTACAAGGTATCACTTTTGTCTTGTTTAGAAACAAAAGTGCTACCTCAATATAAATTACTCCTGTTAGTTTGACAAAGTTGCTTATCCATTATCATCGACTATTAAGGTTGACTTAAGAGAGGATTAATGGACTGACATACCTCAGAAAAGAACCTGTCTCGATATTGATTCTTTTGGGGGCTTTCATAATTGAAGTTTTCTGATAATTGAATAAATCTTTGTCACTCATGTAAAAAAAACTTACAGAAATTTTCAGTTTGTAAACTATACATCTATTATCGGTGCTAAATTCTCATGTTATAATCCTCTTGCATATACATATCAAAGGATGCCGACTCATTATAAGTATCCTGTAGCCAATACTAGTTCATTGATTAATTTGAATCGAAGGCAGTTTCAGCATCTGAATTGATATTTGGATATACATGATGGTCCTTTTGAGCTACGCTTGCTTTGGATTGAGGTACAGGACTAATAAAGTTGCTCAAAGTATTTTGATTTTAAGACTAAAGCATAAATTAATAACTATTATTATAACTAAATTCACAGTCAACTTACTTATAAAGTATCCTCGGGGTTTTGGGGTTTTGGGGTTTTGGGGTTTTGGGGTTTTGGGG